CCCGCCGCTGATGGTGAACGTTGGAGGACTGTTAGCAAAATATCTTATGAGCCAGTAAAGAGACTTGGATGAAACTCTCAAAGAGCAATGAATGGAAACGCGTCTATAACTGATAAACATCTGGAGTCAAGTCTATTCAAGATGGCTGCCACAGCTAAGTGAGCTTATCAAACACAAAACCGGCTATAACTCACCCACTTCTGCAGATACTGAGCTCATATTAGGCGTGGTAGTAGCTGAGAGTCATCCCCAACTTACACTTTAAGTGGTGACTCATTCATTTGTTTTCAAAACCCTGACATTAGGTATTGGAGTCTACTCTATCTGTTAGCAAAACATCTTCTGAGCCACTGAATGGATTTTAATAAAATTTGCAGGAATCGATATTTGGTTTCACGTCTACAACTGAATGCATTTTGGAGTCAACACAATCCTAAACGACTGCCACGGCTAGCGAGACTATAAAACACCAAAATGGCTCGTCAGCATATTTTACAAGTATCGAGCAAAGATTTAGTGTATTAGTAGCTGAGAGTCAATTTCAACACATACTATGAGTACTAAACTTTGAGAGAAATTTCAAAGCCTGTGTTTAAACTGCTGGTGTCAACCCTGTTTGTCTGTTAGCAAAATATCTTCTGAAACACTGTGTCAATTTAAATGAAACTCTCAATATCTAATCGTTGGATAAACATCCACATCAACGTTAGCCAACACATAGATAGCTTTAACGCAGTCATTGTTGTGGACATTTAGTTAAAACTGAGTGATAATAGCTGAGAGTCGCCCTCAACACACACCCTGAGCGTCTCACAAGATGTGGCGGCCATCTTGAATGAAAACTTTGCATTCCTTAGGGGAATGATAGGCCTTTAATTTCATTAAGCATTTACTAAAAACAATATGGCAGCCAATGAGAACCAGAGGCAGGTTTGAGCATCTAATTTTTAACCTGTGGCAGCTGTGTCACACACATCAGGGGCCGCCACACGTGTGCACGTGGGGCCTAGGACGGAGCAACTGTATTACCCCCCCACATCACGTCTGCAGAGTCAAACATTTGCCCACGCTTATCAACACAGACACGTCTGCAGCTTGATCGGCTCACGTTGGGACTGGATGCTGCAGAGGGCGAGTATTGTCTCCTGCACAGCTGCCGCAGTGTTTTGTAATGAACAGTACAGATGTTTCCTGTCCAAATGTGTTTACAGCGTAACGACACGCCGTTTTATGAATGGCTTAAAACGCAACACAACTGTGTGCACGGCTGAGGAAAGCAGAGGTGGCAGTAAGAAATAAGTTTGCACCAACAGGTGTTAACGCTCTGTTTGAGAAGGAATCTGCGAGTGGGAGTCACCTGACACCTCCGATCGTATCTTCGGAGCTTTGTTTACCCAAAACAAGCCGAGTGTGAAGCAGAGAACTAGTCAGCAGTTTTAGCCATGAGCCCATTTAGGATTGTTATAATTATGAGGTAAGGCTTGAGTTTGGGGCCTGAGGCGTTTGTTCAAATACAACAGTCTGATCCTTTGAGTTGAGATGGATGAAAGGCCATTCATCAGGCCTGAGCTCAGTTTGGACACGTCCTTTAGTTGCAGCAGAGACGGTGGATGAAAGACGAGGTCGTCACAAGCAGCTCGCTGTTGGCTTGTCTTGTAAAATGAGCAAAACAAATGAAACTTTGTCAAATGTTCTAAGTTTTAAATTAAACTCGAAAATGTGTGAACGAGCTGAAGAGTGCCAGATGGCTACTCCCAAACATTTCAACATCAATTTAGTCAAAATCCAAGCTAAAAAAATTAAGCATTTTATTTATTTATTTATTGGGGACTATCTTTAAAGGCAGCCACCTATTATTATCCTCTATACTTCAACTTTAATGGGGCCCGAACCGCAACATGTACCCCCACAAGTGTTATATCAAAACGACCGGCTCGGCACCGTGATGCATGCTGTTACATTTATTGGAGTTTCGATTTACCACGGTGATGCAATTTGTATATAAAGACACCGTTTTTCGCATTAAAACAAAATATAAATCAGCCATTTCTAGAGATATTAAGCAAAACTTTGGTGTGGTAGCTGACAGCAATTACCCATAAATACTGAATTAAAATAAAAAATCAAGATGACCACCAAAGCTAAATTTAAATTACTTTAACTCGGCTGTTTTTATACAGAGCTGAAATTTGGTGATGTTACAGCTGAGAACGTGCCCCATCACATATAGAATCCAAATAAAAAATCCAAGATGGCCACCACAGCTTAAAAAAAAGTCATTGATTTTTTTTTTTTTTTTTGGCCACATTGAGATGAAATTTGGTTTGGTAGCTGAGAGCAAACCCCAGCACATAGTACTGGGAAATCAACTTTTTAAAATGTTTGCAATGTGGCATGAGTTTCTCCAAGAACTTTCTAGTTTATTTTTATTCATTCATTCATTCATTCATTTGCACTTTAACTTATTTTAAAATGAACCATTTTCTAATGTTTGTTTATGAGTAACATGATTGTTTTCATGCTTTACATAATAACCTTAAGCATGTAACGTATACTTTTTTGTGTTGAAATGTAATTTTTTGTATTTTGCATTCAGTTTGGATTTAATTGCTCTGTTATCTTTTTCAAATTGATATTCTTCTAATTCTTTTTTTTATTTTTAGCAAGCCTATTACACATTGGACTGTTTTCTAAAACTGCACTTGTGACAAATTAAGAATCTCAAGTCTCAAATGAATAAACTGCAGGCGCGTAAAGAAAACGAAGGTCAAAAGTGTTAAAGTTGCTGCTAGTAGCTAACTTTGGTCACCATGGTAACTATGATGAGAGGCAGACGAAAACAGACTGAAAAGTCAACTTCAAACAAACGCTGTGCGAAAACTACAAGTCATATCTGAAATATCCATAAACAGTGAGCGACAGAAGACTCTAAAGGCCACATGTTTTAATTGTTATATTTATACAGTGTTTTATTTTTAAATAAAACCCTCCGTGTCCTGTTTTTAAGAGGATACTTTAAGATAAAATATAACAAGAGTCAATGGAGGCTAGTTTGCAGAATCCTGTAGTATCTCGTCTGTTTGATCAAAAACCCCATTGTTTTGTTTGAGAATATAATTTGTGCTTTTTTTTTTAAATGAATTGTATTAAAATATACAATGTTTATTTTACCACACTGTTTGAGCTTCACATTTTATTGCATATTAAGTTGTATAAAAATACACAAAAGTCATCAAGAGAAAGGTGAAAACAGTGAATCAGTGCTTGTGCACAACCTAAATAAAGGAAAATTTGGCTGCAAGAGTCAAAAACAAATGTTTTCTCATCCAAACTGCAACATATTTACATTTTTAGACACATTTTTATTATGGGGTGAGGTATATGACCCGTCCTTCTATTTGTCCATAAATCTTTTCAAAGGCATGTCTGTGTTGTTGTTTTTTGGTTTTGAGAACAATGTATATATATATATAATTATTATTATTATTATTTTACAGAGCAGCAGTGGTTTTAAACAAAAAGTCATAGCAGTTTGAACTTAAAGCAGATTTTGCTGATGGGGCTGGTCCTGTTGGATGGAAAAGTTGTTCATGTCTCACTTGATTCCAAAACCACCCAGAATCAGTTCAGAGTTCTATAAACTATCATGAGCTTGTTTTGTTTTGGGTTGTTCTGTGAGAATTTATGACCTCTCAGATTGAATTTTACATTTTGGTTAAAAAGGGTGAGTCTGTTTGCAGAAATATGAACAAAAAACAAAGTGGCAAAGAATAAAATAATTCAGACTCATTACAGCTGTGGTCTGCAGTTGGAACAAATTAAAAGAAACTTCCCAAAGCTTCAGATTTTCCTTCTGCACAAATCTTTCTCTCCGGGGATGCAAGGGTTAAGGCGGTGACGTGGAGCCCCTGAAGCAGTGACCCGCTGGGGCAGCCGGTGGGGGCTGCAAGAAGAAGAGGGGGTGGGGGAAGAGGAGAAAGCTGAAGTGTGAGAAGATACGCAGCAAGCGCCGCAGTTTTTAGACTTCACTCCTTCTTCCGCATTTATCTCCAAACTGCGCTGTTTTACGCACAGATCAGCTCGAAGGAAAACTGTTTTGTTTGTTTGTTTTCACTTTTAAATCTTTGTCGCTTTTTTTTTTTTTTTTTTTGTCCAGCAAGAAGCCGGAGGTGAATTTACGCGCTGACGTGTCTGGACTGTTTGGACTCGATCAAAGGCTGCGACCCAGACGCGCGAAAAAAAACAAAAAAAAACGCGGCGGACTCTTTTACGCGCGTACTAAATGTTTATAGCACCCTTTTAATTGGAGCAGTGTGTGCGCGCGCGGACCAAACAGAGTTCCTCTAAAACTCTGGAAAGCTGCTATACCTACATGTGTAGCAGGCATTGATGGTGGAGGCGGTGAAACGAGTTTCAAGGAGAAAAAAAAGTTCTCGGAGGCGGTAATTAGGCTGATCGTTGACCAAAAAAAAAAAAAAAAAAAACAGCCGCCACCATAAACAAATCATCAGATTTCCAGAGAAGGGGCTGGCTGCTGCGGGTTCTCATGCGCCACTCGGATAATTCCACAAATAAAAAACAAGTTTTTGTTGGTGTGACGCATGGCACAAAGGCGGAGGGATGGTCCGAGCTGGCCAGATCCAAAGCAGAATGTCAAGAGATGCGCGTGGAAGGAGCGACTCTGCTCCACAGATCCGGTTCTGCAGCCATGAATAAAAAACAATAAGGGAAACGTATAAATAAATATATTAATAATAATAATAAGTAAAATAAGGGAAAAGGTGTGTGAGTGAGTAATGGGGGGTGCAGAACCTGTGTGGTGAACACAAGCATTCCTGACGAAGTCCTTGTGCCCCCCTCCCTGATGAAAAGAGACGGAATAGAAAGCCTCTGTAGTCTGGTGCCTGGGAAAGAGAGGGAGCGGAAAGGAGAGTTTCTCCATCAGTTGTGTGTTTAATGTCAGCTACACACACACACACACACACACACACAGAGAGAGAGAGGGAGGGACGCGTCATTCTGACATTAAAGTTGCTATTATACGGAGAGTCGCGCAGAAGGATCCGGCAGCTAGTAGTCCGGGGAAATCCCTCCGAGGATAAATTCAGCAAGAAGCTGACGCGTAGGTAAGCGGAGCGCTGTTTGAGTCCACACTTTGTGGATGAGCAGGACTTTAACTTTGTTTTAAAGAGTTTTTAAAAGCCATGCGGTAAAACTGTCAGGCTCTTTGTTGTTTGGTTTGCGTCCAAGATTTGCGTAAATTATAGGAGTGCGCATTTTGTTGTTATCCTCATACAACCTTATATTTCTTCTTTTCATCGTTCACGTTATGTGTTCCTGATCCAGCACGTGACTTGCAACTCTTCATCCATCCGTGTATGTTTACAAAAAGTCATCAGGCTTGTTTCCGTTTGCGAAAAATGCGCAAAAGGTTTGCGTAATTGTTGGTTTCCATTTTTTTTTTTTTTTTTGTGACAAAGGATTGACAAACAGCGCACAAGTAGGTGTGCACATTTTAATGGCTTTTATTACCATTCATACAGTGTAAAGTTTCTCATTTTGGGCCTCTGGGAAGGTGCACGCACACACACAGAGGCTCATAACGCGTGACTCTTTAGTTGTATAGGCTGCCAGCTTAACTTTTCTAATATTCAGTTACAAACTGAACAAGGTCTGAGCTGCTGTTTCCTTCTCCACACACGCGCACACGCACGCACACATTCGATGAACTGATTCAGCTTTAAAAGCAGAGATTTCTATTTTTCACCCAGCTAATATTTTTTTTTACTAATCAGACTTTTGACTTGAAAAGATGATTTTAAATAAACTTAATTTCATATTTTTCGTGCATAATATTTTTATGAATTTGAGATTTCAGATTCTACTTTAGAATTTAGAAACATGCATTTTAAAGCTGTCATAATTAAAAACAAGTCATTCATTTTATTAATTTTATTTCTCATTCCAATATATTTTTTTGATTTATTTACTTTTTTATTTTATCTTCGTGCTATTGGAACAACAAAAATATATGTGCATTTTAAAAAATACATAAATATATACAATTTTTGAGATGAAGTTTACAGTTCTAACAGTTGTCCTGTGTCATAGCGCCAGATGGAGAAATCCTAAAAAAAACCGTGTCATTTAAATGTCACCATTGTTTTATATTGAGTTTATTGATTTGTTTTTTTGTTCATTTTAAAATGCCAAAATAAACAAAATGTTGACATTATGCAAATAAATACTTCAAAATAAAGCCAACTTTGCCTCATGTACAGTGCACTTTCATGAAGAAAAAAAAATGTCCCAAGATGCTTTCCATACTATTTGTGCATCACTTTTCACCTCATGGTTGCTACTGAGCCATTTTTCTTCATGTGCTTTTGGGAGACACACAAATAATTTAAATCTATTATTAATTGTGAACTATTTGGTGAGAACAAAAATACAAATATTAATTTTTACATTTAAACAACCATGTGACCAGTCTAATATTTGATTTACTCCTGGGAGTTATGTTTTGTTAGTTTGCGTTGTTTTTTTAAAAATCTGAATTAAAACAGAAACAGGTCGGACAACATTTGAAGACGATTTGGTTTTTCCCTTTCAGATCTGATCCAAACTCAGACCTGAGAGCCAACATTTTTGCGCAAGACTCATAAAACGACCTGATGACAATATATTGAAAATATTTCCTCCAAGTTTAAAGTTTTGGCACTGAGGCTGCGTTTAAAGCTTGGAATTGATTTCTCTTTACTGGCTGAACCTTAAAACGCTGAAAACTCGTCTCGAGGAGGTCAGCTGACCCCATGACCTCACCCCACTCCACCCCTTTTGCTCCTGGAGGCGCTTTTAGTTGGAACGTTTCCACTTTCTTGGAGATCCTCCATGTTGTTTATGATCTTCGAGCTCAACAAGAAAAACACCATACAGGGCAAGAACGCTGTTGGTTCTGCAGCGTCCCACGAGTGGATACACGCAGGCGGAGCAGGAAGAGCTGTTGAAAATTCTTTAGAGTGGGGATAACAAATACGCCAAATGGCACGAGATGCGCGTAAAGACGCAGCAAGAAATCACTCGTTTATGTTGAAATGAGGACAATTAAAGCCTCTTACATGTTCACCACCTCCACGCAGACCTGCTGGTGCTTACAGTTGTGTAACAGGTACTTATTTGGTTCCCTCTGTCACCATCATCATCATCCTCCCCTACACTATCATCACCGTCTCCGTCTGAATGTGTTTTCCACACTTAGGGAGAATTTCTCATCTCGTGACCCTTCTGTGTCAGGATATCCACAATCCGGGAGAGGAAAAACTTTTTTTTTTAATATCCAACTTCTAACTTGACTGATTTTATAATGTCACCAAGAATGCGCGCAGATCTCCATTACGCACGAAGCAATCAACGTGTTTTTTTCACGAACTGTGCCGCGTCGTGGCTTCTTTTCCACCCCAACATGGCTCTGATGGCACCACCTTAGATAGATGGGGCGTGTTCGCTGATCAGAGACCCTGTTTGGGGAATTCTCATCTCTTATGAAACGGCGCGCGCACTGAGATTGCTCTCGAGTGGATCTTTATGCAACTTTTTAAGACGCTGCTTTTTTATTTATTTATTTTATTTTTTATTTTTTTCAAAAGACTTTTTGGCGCATTTTGCAGAGGATTTTATGTCGTAATGTAAATAAATAAATAAGCTACCGCTATTTTCTTAAAATGATGCCAAGTTCCAAAAGTATGTTGTCCTGTTTAGTTTAAAACAACACATGGATGGTTTGAGGCGCAGCAGCTCCGGAGGAAAGAGGAGAGGAGCGCGCTGCTGCTGGCCGGGCTGTGAGGCTGAAACTCGGCCGCAGATCTCGAGTCTGGCTCTGGTTTGGAGAGAGAGGAAGAGACAGCGCGAGGGAAAGGGGGGGGGGGGGGGGGGGAGACGTTGCGGGAGAAGGAAGCGAAGGAGGGAAGGTGGAAAGTGTCAGTCAGGAACGCTTCATTGCTCGAGGACAATCCGCGCGCAGGACCGGTCTGTTTCAAGAGCAATCAGTCAATCCGCATTAATTACCCCCCTCCCACCCCCACCCCACTGTAGAGCTCGCGCTGGCACACTGACTACAAGGAGGCCGTGCGTGTGCGTGCGTGTGTGTGTAGGGGGGTTAAGCTTTCTCTCCCTCTGCCACCCATCCCCCACCATTTTTTGGGGGTGAAAAGGAACCAATAAAAATCAAACAACAAAAGGCTTTTCCTTGTCACTAAATAAATTAAATGCAGATTTCTGTTTTTAAGTGCCCCCCCCCCCCCTCCTTTTTTATGCACACACACATTGGCGCGCACAGACACACACGCACACTCTCCTTTTTTTATTTTGTGAGCTGCGGAACACGATTCTGTATTGTCCCCCTGGTCATTAGTGCTGTGGACAACTGTCAAGGAGTGGGTGAGTGTGTAGGGGGCGAGAGCGGGGTGTGGGACGGGAGGGGGGAGTCAATTTATAATAAATACTTAGAAACATCTCAACATTTCACTAACTCCTGATAAACCTTGTTCAAATTAACCAGTCGTTCTTTATGTCCTTTAAGATGGTGCAAACAGGCTTTTTTATTTATCAAATAAAACTAAAATTAGTTGAATTATTTACTTTTTATTAAATCTATTTTTATTTATTTTATTTTTTTCGGGGGAGGGGGAGTGGGGATAAAGCAAATATCATAGATGGAAATTATAATAAAAGTTTTTGTTTCCTCTTCCTTGTCTCATGCACATCAAACATGCAGCTCATCTTTTTGAAAGTGTTTGCATTTATATTGGTGTGTGCGTGCGTGCGCGTGTGTTAGAGAGAGGAAGAAAGAAAACAATTTAAAATACCCCGATACAGTTCAAATAAGGGCATTTAAAAGCAGCAGAAGTTGCAGACATCGGATCTGAGTTACACACACACACACACACACACACACACACACGCACGCACACACACACACACACACACACACACACACACACACACACACACACGGTGTGTATAACGTGGCCAAAGCCAGGGGAGCTTTTAAAATAAATAAACAAACTGGGATGAATCCCATTGCTTAGCTGACATTGGGTTTAAATTATAACTAATTATTCCTCATATAATTATGTAAAAGCTGCATGGTGCGTTCAGTGTGAGTCGGAGTGTACTTTATGAGGTGAGTGCTCTGTGTTGTCAGCTCGGGACAAGTTTTGCCCGATGGGCTGCAGGACGTTGCACAACAAGATTTATGTGAATATATAAAAAATAAGGATGAAGTTTTGTCAGTAATTGAAATTAAATTGCGTATTTTTCCGAGTTACATACAAAAAAGTGCACGAATACACCTCATGTGGTCACTGTTTGCTTGTAAAAACGTATTAGTACACCTGACCAGTTCTGTTTTAACTCAGAAACGTGCTCCTAATAATTTTCACGTTGAGCACATTGTTGCAGTTTCTCTAAAAGTGGGGAATAAACAACATTTAGAGTTCTGTCCTTTATTACCTTTTAATTCCGGTGATTAAGAGACTAAAACTTTCTTCCTGTGTGTGTGTGTGCGCGCGCGCGTGCGTGTGTGTGTGTGTAAAAATGAGGCTCGTGTTTTCCTGTTTTTTGTCTCTCCTCCTCTTTCCAAACACAAACTTGTTTACTGCAGTATTTTTAATCTATTTCGTACATTTATTACAACGTGTACCCCCCCCCCCCCCTCTCTCTCTCTTTCCTCCTCTCCTTTTTTCCGTAGTCCCTTTGATTTAGTCACTCTTGATTCTCCTTTTGCTCTGGGGGCCAACGGGGTTCGCTGTGGGGGGCGCCTTAAAACCGTCCCCTCCTTATCTCCTTTCATCGTTCGGCGCGGGGCCGCCTTGAAACCGCGGGGGCAGTAATTGCTTTTTTCAGGCAGCCCAGTGCGGACTGGCCAGCAGCCAATCAGAGCCTTGTTTACACTCGGTGATTGACAGCGCGCTGGCACGCCGCCAGCCAATGAGGAGCGTCGCGCGGGGGCTGGGACCTGGAGTTTTTAACCCTTTACCTCCACGTATAAACAAATGTGTGTGTGTGTGTGTGTGTGTGTGTGTGTGTGTGTGGGGGGGGGGGGGGGGTAGCTTTAGATTTCGACACG